CACCTAGTGGAAATAAATCAAAGGAGTATAGCTACTCTGAGATTTCTAGATGTATCGAGTGGTATCGGCTCAAAATACCTATCAGATTATACTATCACTCATAATAAAAAAATCGAAGGAAAACTCACCAGCGTGAAAAAAGTGAAAAATGATTTCTGCAATTCAATTGTTTGGAATTCAATTTGTTTGGAAATACAGGGTATGTCACGACAAACTTACACTATCTCTATATCGACGATCAGTCAGGAGAAATACATGAAAATATGCATGCTTATATTTTAGAATACGCGCTCTCTTCATTTAAAATAATTTCAGCAATGCAGTGTTGCCGTTTCTATAAAAAAGTAGCAACATCTTTCTTATATCAAATATAAAATACCCTGTATTTCATTGCATTTTTAGATTCTCCCTGGAGAGCTGATTTCATCAATACATCAAACCTGGGGTCTATCGGGAATGCTTACAGAGATATAGGGTGTTCAAAATCGCTATTTTTCAACTTCAGGATTTGTTTGTGCAGAAATTATTCATTATCGGCCAAAACGGCTCACATGTCCCTATCTCAACTTTTCATTTACTATTCACTGATATTCAATCGGAACAGATACAGGGTGGTCAGAATTCTGAATCTTGAACCAGCCAAAACACCGAACCCCTTGCCCCTCGCCAGTCATCAATGTACTTTACTTGTGAGGAAACAAATTGCTTTCGATTGTGAAGAAATGACGAGAACCAACTAAGACATATGCCTCTTATCATACATATATATTTCTAATTTCGACTTCAGTTCTTGATGGTTGATATAGTCGAAAGCTCGACTAAGATCACAAAGAATTACCGCTGGACATTCACCTCAATGCTGTATAAGCTGTACAGAATGTAAATACTATATTTTTTTTTTTTTTTTTTTTTTATCGATTGGAGCGCACGAAAGGGAATCCCTATAATGTTCAAAGAACATCGTGCGTTCCTAAGGAGGATAGGATTATTATTATGTATCAATGTAATTGCGATTCTGTGAGAAATAAATCTAATCTAATCTAATCTAATCTGAATCAACGTATTCTATGGTTTTGTTCAGTTATGAGAACATAGCTGTGTTCCTAGATTTTTTAGAAGGAAATCCATGCTGCCTTTAACTCAAGACAGAATGTTTATCAAGAAACGAATTAAGACGTTCCAAAAAGGCATATTATTCGAACATTTTCGAAAGTACACAACTGTTACAGGACGATTATTTTCCACAAGGGTTGTGTCTTTCTTTTTGAAAATAGGAGTCTTTACCAGTTTTAACTTGTGTGGAATGGCGTATTCACCAGATGTGTTAATGGTAATATTATCAAAGTAATAACTCTTTTTTTCAATATAAACAGCGGTATGTCATCTGGACAAGACGATTTTTTATTCTCTAGTTTGTTTTTCAACAATGAAAGTAATTCATGTTCCGTAAAAGGGTTCAAAAATATTGTGTAAGGGTTGAAATCCTTTTCATTATCAAATACCCCATTACTACTTGGAGGTATCTGTTTAACCAATTCGATAGGAGCCTTAACGAAAAAATCATTGAACTTGGAGGCAATAGTTGCCGGATCTTCTTTAAGCCAATATAACACGGTCTCCGAGAATGAAGTGAAAGAACTGCAAGTCAATTTATCTTCTATTTCACTTCGCGGTTACATAAATAACTAATAAACAACCACTAAGTTACACACAGAATTAGACTGACAGATATTTGATTCCTAGAGTAGTCCCTTGATGGAAATTGACGTTAAAGCTAGAGTCCCTGTATGTATAATTCCCTGTATATATTTGTCAGTTTTGTTGTAATGAGAGTACGGACACTATGACAAGCAGTGACGGAAGGCATAACCCCAAATTCTCAAAATGACTTTTGAACAAAGACATGGATATGCTTTTCCATGCATTTCGGATCTTCTATCCTCTACTGCCGCGGTGCAGGGTACATCCATGTATCTTTCTCTGTCTTTATTTTCATAAAGAAGTGGCGTCTCATCTCACTGGCGAAAAGGGGTCATAGTTTGTAAATCAATTTGTTGAAAGTATTTCTCGATATACTTAACAAAGGGTATATGTACTTCAATTTATTTGATTTTAGGATGCACTAGTTTTTCAATAGATAGAATCAGGATTTAGTAGCCAGTTCTGATGGTCAGAATGTAAATGAATGGGAAGAACAATTCAACCAATTAACAAACGTATATTTGTTCTCATAACATACTAAGACACTTCATAGGGCATGAACGATCAGAAAATTCGACAAATACAAGTATAATGATTATAATTCAAGAATAGTATATCCTATGACAAGAATACAAAATTTCAAATAATGGTAGAGTAAAGTGGGGTAATATGGCAACATAAAATTTAAATGCTCACAATCTACACATGAATTTTATGACTAAAGCTTTTTCGACACTCTCTGCATTCCATCTATTACCATTATATTTAGAATTATGAGAAATATGTTGCTCATAATGAATAGCAACTTTACTTAGAATAACTTTTAATTAGTAATCGATTCCATTGATTCGCGTTTTAAAATACTGGAATTGACTATAATTTTGGTTGAAATATATTCCGAAACTATCAATTTGGGTCTTGAGTCGATTCAAAATGGCCTGTATTCTTGCATTAGCAGTTTCCTCACACTCTTCCAAAGATTTTTGATGAGATAGTTGAAGATCTAAAATTATTTCCTTATAATAGTTGTGAATATTCGTAACTTGCAGTCTTGTTTCAGAATCTCTTTGCTTCAAGCTATTTTTCAAATGTTCGTCCTTTTCTTTGATTTTTTTTTCTGTATCTTTCATCATTAACTATTAATAAATTTCGAATTTCGGCATATCTTCTCTCTAAATCTTCGATAATTTCTTGTTTGTGATCCAAAATACATTCAATTTCATCTTGGTATTCTACTTGAATTTTTCCTCGTAAAAATTGTCCAGAATTCGATAAGGAATGTCTTCGATAATGCTTCTGATGATGGAATGAAGACTCCGCATGTTCCACTATGAAATCTTCACATTTGAAGTGCACCTATAATGTTAAAATTGAAATTATAAATGATATTATTCCTTCGAAGATGCATCATATTCAATCGAAAAATTCAAATATTGAGTACTTACTTCGCAAATTGATACCTGATTTCAATTTCCATAGTGGCCGCTTCATATTTTCTTTCCATTTTTGTAACTGTTGTTGGTTAGAATGGGGGAAATGGAATAAATGAAAGGACTCGCATCCATTTTTGCAATTCTCCACTACACAATTAGACATTTCAATTTTTGAAAACCTGAATTTTCAAATAATTTAATGTCATGTACGTTCATGAACTGTCAGTGCCCGCCAAATTGTTCATGTCATTTCAAATTTTTTAGGGTTATGCCTTCTGTCACTGCTTGTCATAGTGCCCGTACTCTTATTACAGCAAAAGTGTCAAATACATACAGGGACTCTAGTTAAAGCCATCTTAACAGGGTACGGACAGATCATAGCTGTATTCTTTTTTAATGATCTAGAGATTTTAGTTTTGTCTACTGGCATCCCTGACATTGCTGTCACGTCACATCCATGGGCGCTACAGAAAGTTATTCAAAATTTTAATGATAGGTATGTACAGGGTATTTACTTGTTGGGGAAGATCATATGGCGAACGAGTTTTGTAATTATGATCAAAATTGGAAGGTATATTATGGGGTTTTCCGGGGTTGGAGATGATGATTGTTTCGTCAAACTTGAAAAATTCAAGATGACGGATCCAATATATAGCAAAAGACATTTCTAATTACGATCTGATTCTATTTAAGATTGGTATCTGGACCCAATATTGCGAACGAAACTTGTAATTATGATCCAATTCTATTAAAAAATTCCGGGGTCGGAGATTATAACTATTTCGTCAAAATTGGGATTTTTCAAGATGGCGGATCCAATATGGTGGACGAGTTTTGTAATGAAGATCCGATTCTTTTTAAAATTGGTATTTGGGGGTCGGGGTAGGAGATAATGATTGTCTCGTCAAAATTAAAAAAATCAAGATGACGGATTCAATATGGCGATAGACATTAGTTTATATAATTATAACTCTACCACAAATAGAAAATATGTAGGATGCAAGAGTGAAAATAAAGTGCCTATAAGTTATACTGCGTGTACTTAGCGTATACCTACTTCTTTGTTACTTTTATCAATAAATTATTCGAAAATGACTTTTCATTTAAAAGATACGGAAAAATCATGTGTATAACATGGGGGTGAAGTATATTCTATTCTTTATTTTCCTGCACATTTCAAGTATCAATTTTTATCAGCTTTTATCTACTTTTCGTCCTAGACGAAGTTTTATACATAGAGTGATATTAGTAACTCCATAAATTCTTCTCCGAGTTGGATTTCCGAAAATATATTTAGCACACATGACATGAGTACAGTAGTCTAGATACCCACATCGAGGTTTCCACCATTTCTCAATCATAAGGCTCAGCTCATTCAGCTCATAGATAGACTACTGCTCAGCTTGAAATCAGAATTCATTCAGTCAATTCAGTCAACCCTAGTATACAGTCTAAGAACAGTCTCTTTTGGTGAAATATATTAAGCTTTCAGTACAATTTATATGATCCCTGAATCGCAAAGATTATGCTGGAGTAGTAAACTCTAAAACTAGAGGATTGTTCAACTATATCTTGGTATAGTTGAATCAGGAATTCCATATGGAAATTACGTATGATACGCCAATCACCTCAATCTAACCTAAGAAACAACAATTGTCAAAAATCTATCCCCAGAATTGAATAAGGATGGAACTATATAACTGTTTCACAAACACTTAAGAGTGAGAGGAGACGAGGATCTGTCCGTACCCTGTGAAGATGACTTTAACGTCAATTTCCATCAAGGGACCCTAGTGGACAATAAATAATGGCAGCCCTCATTGATCGCCCAATGCCCACCCTCAACCGCCCACTTCTGTGTTCCAGCATCCGCCCCCTGTCGCGCGCCCTCAGCTCCCCCGTCGTCCACCTCGGTCCGCCGCCCGCGGGGGGAGATCCACCGCCCTTCGCTGCCGCCGCCGCCGCCCCGCTGTCGCCCGGAGCGGGTGGGGCGGGTCCGGCTGCACCGGCCGCCCGTCGTCGCGCCTCCTCCTCTTCCTCGGCCGCCCCCACTACTGGCCTTGCATACGACAACCAGATGCTGAAGCACGCGTGCGCGTGCGGCAATCACGCCGTCCATCCGGAGCACGCGGGGAGATTGCAGAGCATCTGGTCGAGGTTGCTGGAGACCGGGTTGGTCTCGAGGTAAGGTTTTTTTTTTCATTTATGCACGAACATCATTTCGGGTAGTGTCCTGTGATTCTTCAGTGGGAGACTTCGTTCCAAATTGCCAACCTAAAAACCTCTAGCTTATTTTGATTTTCATGGAAATATTAATACCCTGTATCTCGAAAACGAAGCAAGTTAGGACACATGTTTATATGAACTTCATTCCCTAAAACATCACAAGGAATCACCCCTTGAATTTTTTCGGTGTTATTCAGATACCCTGTATACAGGGTGGTCCACGGTGGATGGCCGATTAGAAGTATCTGGAGAAATAAAAGACAGAACATTCTGAAAATTGGAATGCTTTGATAATTGAACATTCTCTATCCGTCTAAAATATTTTCATCGATACAGTGTTGCCACTTCTATCAGAAACAACTAGCAACTTCGTTATTTTAAATCGAGCACCCTGTATTTTATTGCATTTTTAGATTCTTCCTGAAAAGCTGATTTCATCAATGCATCACACTTGGGGTCTAGCAGGAATGATTACAGAGATATAGGGTGTTCAAAATCGAGATTTTTCAATTTTAGGATTTTTTTGTGTCGAAACTATTCATTATCGATCAAAACGGCTCACATGTCCCTATCTTAACTTTCGATTTACTATCTACTGACATTTATTTGGAACAGATACAGGGTGATCAGAATTCAGAATTTTGAAGCACCCTGTATTTTTGCCAATTAAATTCCAGTAGATAGTGAATCAAAAGTGAAGATAGGGACATGTAAGCCGTTTTGATCGATAATGAATAGTTTCGACACAAACAAATCCTAAAATTGAAAAATCTCTATTTTGAACACCCTATATCTCTGTAATCATTCCTGCTAGACCCCAAGTGTGATGCATTGATGCAATCAGCTCTTCAGGAAGAATGTAAAAATGCAATAAAATACAGGGTGTTCCATTTGAAAAAACAAAGTTGCTAGTTGTTTTTGATAAAAGTGGCAACAGTGTATCGATGAAAATATTTTAGACTGATAGAGAATGTTCAATTATCAAAGCATCCCAATTTTCAGAATGTTCTGTCTTTTCGTTCTCCAGATACTTCTAATAGGCCATCCACCGTTGATCACCCTGTATACAATAACTGTTGTTTAAATATCAAACAGAAAACGACATTCCTGTCCAATGAATACCACAGAATATTGAATTATATCTGATATGTATCGAAATAGTTATTCATGTACCAAGGACGAAAAACTGTCTTTTATAGTCGAATCTGCAAATTGATAGCCGAGGCCTCAGCCGAAGGTGCATATTACATTTTTTCGTAGACCTCAAACACATTCCAACCATCAACAACCTACTAATTTGGAATGCGTCGAGCGATTTTCATGAAGGAAAATTCTATAATACAGTACCCAACGAGCTCTATTCGAAAATGTGGACAAAGGGTCAAAATTTCAAAAACGACTATTAGGTATTTTTTTGTGGAAACAGTGACTAATCAATCCGATTCAGGCATAGCTAAAATACCCCCATACGAAATTTGAACGCATAATCTCATAATGTTAGTTATTCAATGGCAAATTTTGATATTCAAGATTTTTCGATTTACCCTGTATCAAAATCTAAGTAGTTGATGGTGATGTTCTCTATAGGTCGCGTTCACGATGACCGACCCTGGAGGCAAAATATTGAAACACAGCCTCATTCTTCTGTGAATTATTGAAACACAACCTCACTTTTTTACTTGGTTACAGAGGAATCAAAGGATTGAACTAGTTTTTCACAATATTTTGGCATACGAATCGTGTTTTTTGCGCTATTCATTAATTCGAGCATGCCTTCGCATTGTGCTGTTGTATGTACAATGCACAAAAAATGCAGCAAGAGACTAAAGAATATGATTTTTCAGGTAAATAGTAATCTCACATAGTTATATCATTATGAAATGTTGACATTCCTTATTAAAATTCTTTCTGCCTTCTGTCACTTCTGCAATACAAGCTAATACTGCTAATAGATTGAAAATGTCTACAACACACACGATCGTCAGCATGTCAGACCAGTCCTCCCGATTGATTGCATGAATCCAATTTTCTGGCATTATTTTAGAAATTTCAGAGGTATTTCTATTAGCTTCTATCGCAGAAAGAATTCCGATGAGAAATCAGAGAAATTACCAAATTTCAAAAATGAAAACTATACAGTGAGGACGTAAAAAGTCCTCCCCCCCCTTTAACCTTTGAACGGAACAAGCTAGCGAGGTCGGGTAAAATCCAGGCAAAAAGGTACTTCTTTCACTACTATTTGGCATGAAAATGGTTGTGGTCACGTGACATAGTGTCAAGTGGGCACCATCAACTTTTTTTTTTAAATGTGAAGAGGGGTCACGTGGTACCTTGTTTTGAAGGCCTTTCGATTCTCTATCCAACTCTGCATTGTGTGTGGAAATCAGTCAAGCCGTTTCAAAATGACAAGCGTTTGAAATGTACCTGGGAAACAGTAAATCACGTTCGGATTGAATTCCAAAACCGATTTTTCAGTGTCAATAAGTGAACGATGAACATTTCGAGCATGTTTGAGCACTTGTTACAATTCCTACTTGAAATCATGTTGCAATTAAAATTTATTCAGATTTTTTATGCATTAATATTAATATTTGAAGCAAATTTCAAACGCTTGTCATTTTGAAACGGCTTGGCCGAATTGTACAAACGAAGCGGTGTTGGATAGAGAATCTAAAGGCCTTCAAAACGAGGTACCACGTGCCCCCCCTTTGAATTTGAAAAAAAAAAGTTGATGGTGCCCACTTGATACTAGGTCACGTGACCACAACCATTTTCATGCCGAATAGTAGTAAAAGAGGTACCTTTTTGCCTGAATTTTACCCGACCTCGCTAGCTTGTTCCGTTCAAAATTAAAAGGGGGGGGAGGACTTTTTACGTCCTTACTGTATGTGAGTGACTATAGTAGGTACTTACTTTTGAATCATATTGTACTAACCAGATTACTTCGTCTTCCGCTGCAGTTTTTGTGCATTTCACAACAGCATAATGTGATGGCATGAGCGAATTGATGAATAGCAGAAAAATACGATTCGTATGCCAAAATAATTGTGAAAAACTATTTCAATCACTTGTAAACAAAATAATTGTGAAAAACTATTTCAATCACTTGTAAACAAATAAGTAAAGTGACGTTTGTGTTTCAATATTTTGCCTCCAGTGTCGGTCATCTGACAGATCTTGCACGCAACCCATTCAATGGCAAATTTCGATATTCAAGATTTTTTGATTCACCCTGTATCAAAATTTAAGTAGTTGATGGTGAAGTACTCATTCAATGGAGAAACACATCGTAACTTCTACAGGAAGATCTCTCTAGGTCAATCAAAAATCAATATAAGTAGAGTTGAGGTTCACCATTTTGAACTCAAGTAAACCGTCTTTCACCCACTTCACAACACGAAACCTTTGGAAATCTTCTCGATTGATGAAGAACTGTCGAATATAACACAAAAAGAATTACATACAAACACTCTCCAAAGACTCAAGGAGATTCACTGATACTTAATGTGATAATAATAATAAAATCATTGTTAATATATCTAAAAGAATTAGATATATTATTCTTCCATACATAACATCTCGCATGACATGTAGTATTAGCCTGGAAAATACTTGTTTTTTTCTGCAACCGACACAAAAGTCGTCCATTTTGATACCAAAATTAGCTCTTAAATTGACGTTTCTATTACTGACACAAAAATAGGTATGTTGCTAGGCAACATATTTAGTTCCTAGGAGCTAAAGTTGAATTTTAGTTCCTAGGAGCTAAAGTTGAACTTTAGCTCCTAGGAACTAAAAAGGATGTTCTGGACGTCATCAAGAATAAACAACATTGTGACGGTTGGTTATTTGGGTTGAGACGCATACCTGATTTGTTTCCGATTTCAGCAGATTTGGCATTTCATACCCATGCTGGAGAGATAAATACACCTTATTATAGTTCAGTATTGGAATTATGAACATCTCAGCTAAGTATTTTTGTTTGATCAGGGAAGCCTTCAAGATTCAAATACTTGCTTGATCTGTATTTCATTCGTTATTCTCGGGATGGATAACTTGTTTTTGAATAATCACGGCAAGCAATAGTTTTTTGTCTCAAACAACGATATTGTTTAGCTTCATTTGATTATCAAGTCAAACACAGTGTAGTATGGAGAGGAATAAATAATCACTATTATCATTGTTGATAAGCTCACTAACACATTTTCCACGTCTTGTTCCTATAGCTGGCACTGGCGCGGTATTTGCCATTAGAGCACCTGGTCCATACACAAATATGTCACTCTGTGATTGTATTTATATTGAAACTACAATTCGAACATCCTAGAAAACCTAACCTGCTGTTAATGCATGTAGAATATTCTCACCACACGGATTATTTGTCAATATTTGTTGCATTGCATACATATGGCACGGCATTGGTGGTTACTTCACATGTTTATTTGAGTTAATTGTTTCGGTTGCAGAAAAAATAGCATGTTTCATTCGGATCAAAAGTGACTTTGTTCGACTCGCAAATTTTGTTTTCGCTCGGCTTCGCTAAACGCTCCGCCTCGCAAATGCAAAATTCGCTTGTCAAACAAAGTGTCACTTTTGATCCTAATAAAACAATCTACTATTATTTTGATATGTTCACAAAATTGTTTTCTTCTACAGATGTGATAGGTTAAGGCCGAGAAAGGCATCGACCCAAGAGCTACAGACTTGTCATTCGGAAGCTCACTCTTTACTTTACGGTACTAGTTCATTGAATAGGCACAAGATGGACATGAGCAAGCTCAGTGCCCTACCGGTGAATGCGTTCGTCAGGCTGCACTGTGGTGGCATAGGGGTAAGTGTGTGCATCCCTACTTCCCTATCCCTACCCCTACTAATATTATAAATTGATATTCGTCATACAGGACGTGGAAAGAAATTCTGGATTGAGAAAACCTAATCACGAATCTGCGATAAAAATAACAAGTTTCCATCGTTCAAGTTTGAACAGAACTGACAGTTTTAATATTCTCCTGAAGATGCTAACATAGTTAGCGAAACACGTGTCGAGGTGTTGAAAATCGGTTTGGTTAGTGGTAAAACAGTGTGTAGTGTATTATCGTGCCAAAGGTTCCAGTCTTCGATATACTATGTATCTTTGTTTCAACACCATATCCATTCTTCTTCGAAGAGTTGGCAAAACCATACAAAATTGGAAACCATTATGAAACGTGTCCAGGACAGTTTTTTTGAAACGCATCCAAGACGACAATTTTTGTTGGAACGTGCCCATAACGGTTGTCTTGGTACGTGGCTGGGACGATGTTGGAACGTTTCTGTAACTTCAGAGAGACTTGAGTGGAAAGGTTTCAGATATCCGAAAGACATTTCTGAAACGTTTCTGATACTGAAATATGTTTAGTTGGTACCGATACGTTGTCTTTCACATCCGATTTTCAGAAATGAAAATACAAATTGATTCCTTTATTTGTCTTACCCAAGAATTTTTAATAATTTGTGGTGAATCAATCTCTAAAGCAGAGAAGACCTAACTATTCTATATTTGAATTTTGCGGAAAATGACCCAACTATTTTCATTATTTATTGAGATCTCAATGTGACAAAGACGTATTTTTCACGATAACTAAGGCAATAATAAAAATTCAGTGGATTGCTAGCTGGGATTAGTGGAACATGAGAGAATGGTTTATACCAGAAAATGAAAACAATGAACGCCGAAAGGTATGAGCAGCCCTGTATAATGTTATACCTTATTATTAGTGGGAAACATTACATGAATATGTTCATAAATAGTCATGACAAATACTAGGATTTACATAATTTGTTACAGATAATTGAATTTAGGCTGTTTTTTCACATTTTATATCTGTTTTAATATTCACGTACTGAAACAATAATGCTTCTTTGAATTGAAAATGTTTCAAGTGAAGATCGGATGAACCTTTTAGTTGAATGCGTCATTACAACAAAAAAAACCTATCATGTTGTCTAAATGTCTATTAAGATGATATTATTTCAAAATTCTTCAGTTAGTAAATCACCTACAAAGTTCAAAGGTGACTTGATTGCGGCGTATTTTAACGATTTGAAACTATATGTTGTAGATATCCATTTTATTTCAAACTTTCCAGTTTATTCAAAGAACAATTTTTGATGAGATGTGATTGTGAATCAAACCACGTGATGATATAAATGACACTATTCAGCTTCAGTAATAACGGAGTTGGTGATAATAGTACCGACTCAATCTCGAACAAGCTGTATAACAACTCATTGATAATTTATTCTAACAGGAATTATTTCTCCGCAATCATAGTGGAAAAAGTACTTCACAAACAAAAAAATGCATGTCAATCATAGCTGCTATTAAAACTTGATGGCGATAAGGAGTCCTTGAGGCGGACTTTCATGCAAATATCAAATTAAAAAAGTAACATACTCTTCGAGAGTGGAAAAACTATAGTTGATCGATCTTGATATTTAAATCAGGAAAATCTAGCGTGCATAAAAATGAGTAATTTAAACAAAGCAAGTTCAACAATAGATATTTATTATACAAGGGATTAAGTAGGTCACGGTTTTTCCCTCTGCTACATTGGGAGACAACACAACCTGGAGCTAAAATCTAATATTATTATTTTTCCCGGGTATAAATAGTTATTTATTATACAAGGGAAAAAAGTAGTAGATTTTAGCTCCAGGTTGTGTTGTCTCCCGACGCGTAGCGGAGGGAGACAAAAAACCGTGAGCTAAAATCTAATATTTTTCCCGTGTATAATACACTATTTTTTTCTGTGACAGAAGGAAGGACGAATCAATATTGGGAAGATATTACATTATTTCGAAATCTGAAAATTATCGACGTGAAATTTCAAGTTTTTAACAGTAGGGACACCTGCGTTTTATAGACATCTTCATCATTCTTTTGAAGTAATCAAATATCTGATGTCACATCTGTCAGTTCAATTCTGTGATTTGATTTTAAAAAATTGCGAATTCAGTAGTTGTTTAGTAATATACGAAACCGCGAAGTCGACTGGAAGATAAAAAGAATTGCAGTTCTTTCTCGGAGACGGTATTATTGACTTATTTTTCGGAACTATAGCACAACAAAAGCCATTAACAGAGTATATGTATGTGATATATATCCGGGAAAGAAGTACTCACTTTTTTCCCACGGGAAAATAGTAATTTATGAAAAGTGACATTTTATAACCTGCCAACAGAGATGAAATGCCAAACTTTTTTCCCGTCACAGAAAAAACACTATTTTTTACTGTGACAGGAAAAAGGACGAATCGATATTGAGAAGATATCACATTATATTGAAATCAGAAAATTATCGACGGGTTCGAAGTTTTCAACAGGAATGACACCTGCGATGCAGACATCTTTTTGTAGGGCATCACCATCATTCTTTTGAAGTAATCAAATATATGTCAGTCTAATTCTGTCATTCGATTTTAAAAAATTGCGAACTTTGTGGTTTTTCAGTAATTTACCGCGAAGTCGAATGGAAGATAAAAGGACTTGCGGTACTTCCTCGGAGACCGTGTTATTGGCTTATTTTTCGGAACTATAGCACAACAACCAAAGCCATCAACAGTGTTTATATGTGTGATATATATCCGGGAAAAAACTACTCACCTTTTTCAAGTGGGACGAAAGTAATTTATGAAAAGTGACATTTTATAACCTGTCAACAAAGATGAAATTTCGAACTTTTTCCCGTCACAGAAAAAAATACCTATAGTCTGAGCACTCTGGAAGGCGAAAGTATCTTGGAACAAAAGAAATCGACTCTTCTGAAATATGATGGATGCTTCAAGATGCTTCCGTGGGTCATATTATCAGGACGAAGTTGGATAAAAATCTTCCAATGGTGAGCCAATCAAAAAATGTAAATTCTACAATTTTATTTAGTCATTAGGATTTCAAACTATTCTGGGACTTTGACAACAGTAGACAAGAGTTGAAATAATGAGAAGCTAACATAACCACAATAATAGATGTTATGTTGTCCATCTGATCATATTTTTTCCACTTGCAGTGTAAAGCACAAAGTATTAGTGTATCTATTAGTCTTAAAATGAGTAATGGGTGATATCTGCACATGCATTTTGAAATTATTTCATCATTATTTGAATAATGTATGAAGCTATTCGGTCTTTGATAGTAAATTATATTGAGTTACTAACTCCCAAATGGTGCACTTGAGTTATATAAATAACTTCCTCACACATCTTAGCACCAAACCATTTTTCCCAAACTATGAATTATTATGGTTATGGCTTGAGTTCCTCTCTCTTTGTGACCGTTGCATTCAACTTTGAGTATTTGGCTTTTCCCTGGTTGAAAATACGCCAGTCGGGCAACCATCCACCCCCTTTTCACCTGAAATAGGATCTTGTTTTGTAGCGTTCCTTTCCCAACCAGGTGGCGTTCGGCGTTCGCCTTCATTTCGCGGACGTTGAACGCATCGTGGGGTATAAATGCTCAGATGCGTTTACGTTGGGTCAGGTTCGCACCACATAGCGGTCAAGAATGCTATCTGGGACAGCCCTGCACTGATAACAGTCAACAGCTCGAAACCGGTCTGCAGGTAGTCTATACGAATTATTGCATAGATTTCGGGAGGATGCAATCCAATTTTCTGCGTGGCATATAGCCAGGAAAGTAGTTGTTTTTCTCTCGTTATCTACCATTCTATGAACTATTGTGGTAATGACTTTGAGTTTCTCCCTCTTTGTATCCATAATATTATGCTTTCCAGGTGGACACCGACACCACGTGGAACGAGCTGTACACAGCTCCGGCAGCCAGGATGGCGGTGGGATGCACCGTGGACTTGGCGGTGCGCACGTGGACGGGCGACATCAGGAACGGCTTCGCCATAGTCAGGCCGCCGGGCCATCATGCCGAGCCCCAGCAGGCCATGGGATTTTGCTTTTTCAATTCCGTAAGTTGAACGAGGATCGGAGAAGAGGGGATCAAGTGTTTTTTCAATCTCTTGGAGCGCACGAAAGACATTTCCTATGATCTTTGGAGGAATTCCATGGTAACTCAAAGTGGAGTTGTACAGGGTGTTTCTTGAGTGCGTGTAGAAAATTCAGGAGCATGTTGCTGACGACAGAATAATAAGGAAAGTTCGTATAAAGATATGTCCGAAGTTATTCGTTTCTGAGATACAGAGTGTCAAAGTTTCATTTTTATTTTAGTTTTTGGTTAATAAATTTCAAAATAATTGTGATATTCGAATGATATTTAGTTTCTAGGGGTATTTTTCAATGAAAATATTGAATTTTATGTTAGTTTGTCTCTTTCCAGGGGATGACGCCACCTACATGTTTTGAAGTAGAAAAATAGATTTCTAGAACTTTTGTGTAAAAAATATATTCTTGGTAGAGGTCGCTGCGAGCAACTGTTTTTGAGTTATTAGGATTTGAAATAATCGATGCATTTGAATTATTTCCATGGGGCTCCTGAGATTTTGCGCAATTTTTCTTGTGCTTGTCTGTGGATTTTCTTCGATTGCCCGAAGAACAGCTTCTTCAATTTCTGGAGTCCTAGTAGTCAACGATCTGCCTATCACTGGAGCTTTTTTAAAGGATCCAGACTCTAAGACGCTGAAAAAGGTTTCTGAATGTCTGATGATTCGGCAGTCGATGATTAGGGAATCTATCATTTGATTGTTATTTTTTTGAATGGGAAGAGTCCAAAAAAGTAGGTACAAAGAGTAAGAATCATTTTTTGCTGATATTCCAATGTTGAAAGTAGGAGGATATGAAGAAAAATGCACAGGCTTATCTTTTCTGATATTTACTACTCAGAGGCGACTAACTCATCGATTATTTCAAATCCCAATAACTCGAAAACAGTTGCTCGCAGCGACCTCTACCAAAAATATATTTTTTACACAAAAGTGTTCTAGAAATCTTTTTTCTACCATAATTCGTGATACAGGTATGCAGAAGAAAGCAATAACTTCTCAAAAGACTCACAAGACATGTAGGTGGCGCCACTCCCACGAAAGAGACACACCAACATAACATTTGATAATGTCATTAAAAAATATCCGTAGATACCTAACTTTTTTCGAATATCACAAATATTTTTTTAAATTTATTAACAAAAAACAAATATGAAAATTCAACTTTGACACTCTGTATCTCAGAAATGAAACACCTTCGGACATATATTTATACGAACTTTTGTTCCTATTTTGACGTCAGCAACATGCTCCTGAATTATCATCATCCTAATACAAGAATTAGTTCTAGAAAAACCAACATTGGCATAGGATATAGATACAATGAATATTCACATGGAAATGAAAAAGTTGAACTTTTGATAATTCAGACAATAAAACGGCACAAGACAAAGACGTGTGCACCATGATCTGGAAAACAATGGTTTATATGATGTAAGAGAGAATAAATTGAGTATTTATAGGTATTATAAATTTTTTTGTTTTTTATAAAACATGATGACATGATGTCTGTCATATTTCTTTTTGACAACTCAATTTTTCCGATTTTATATCATACTCAGTTTCGCCTTTCTAGCTGTGGATAGGACAAGTGGTTACTCCCAATAGATCGTTGATATAAAGTAGGAACAATGTTGGTGTCAAGATTGATCCTTGTGGAACGCTGGAATTGATGGCAATGTAAAGTTCCCGCTAGACGTCCTTAATGTATTTGATATTTCTGTTTTGACGTTTTTGTATACAGGGTGTTGATTAATCGAGTGCCGATAATACAAGGTGTCAATCCTCGGGTGATTTTAAGGAGAAAACTACATATGAACATCTGTGCTAAACCTTTTAGTTTTTTTTAATCAAAACATTCTATATCAGGCTTACATGAACAGGTAAAAATAAATAATTGATTTGATTGATGAAAGTGAGCGTTAGCTTAATGTTCATGAAATTAATCATTAATGACCCCTATTAGTGATCAATTCGTCTATTAATGCACGATTGTTGTATAGGCAACCAAAAATACACCGCTTGCATTCATAGTTTGCACTATAACTCAAGGAATCTGCATTCAAATCGAAATCGAAACTATAGATTTCATCGAAGATTCTAAGCTAGGTAAACTTTATCTTCGGGAGAAAAAGTAGCACTCTCCTACCTTGTCATACAAATAGCTATGGTTTCCGCTAGGTGGCGATAGCGGCGCGCATCCTGCAACGCGACCACCGCGTCCCCAAGATCCTCATCTTCGATTGGGACGTGCACCACGGCAACGGCACCCAAGAGATATTCTACGACGATCCGCGGGTGCTGGTGGTGTCCGTGCATCGACACGACGACGGCAATTTCTTTCCGGGCACCGGCGGCGTGTCGGAGTGCGGGACGGGAGCCGGCGTCGGGTAAGTATCTCAAGTTTCCAAATTAGAAATTTAAGAAAAACACTCAATATAAATCACATACTTTAGTGAAATACAGTCTAGGATCAGTTATGGAATTTGTATTTGGGGGAGCTCTCCTCATGCTAAAAGTGTTTTTATGTCACAGAAAAGAATTTTAAGATGTATTTCAAACATCTCATTTGTAGATTCCTGTCGACCTGTTTTCATCAACTTGAGAATTTTAACTGTTTATGGCATTTATACAGGGTGTTTCAAAAAAACCTGACCCCCTTGCTAGGGTAGGTAGATCACTGCAAAATAAGTTGGGTTTGTTCAGTGAAAAAATGTCTTAACGGCATCCGTTTGCATGATACAAGGTGTTGAAAAAATTACTTTTTTACACATTTTTCACGATTATGTCGAAACTACTGGTAACATAGTGATGAAATTTTGTACGGATGTTTCTTGAAATCTGACACATCGCATGAATTTGTTTTTATATCTGACTCTCATAGAGGGCGCTAGTTACACGGTTCGTACCGAGTAGTTTAGAACATAACTTTTTTGAGGTTAGATTTCCCAATCCAAATATGATATGAACTTAAACCTCATTCAATTTTACACCAAAAAGGAACTCTTGCTGAAACTCGATACTATGTTCCGTTTTCGGAATATTTTGATTTGAAAATATTGGAGTAGTATTGATGCTGGTATAAAATGAATTTTATTGAGTTCAATTACCTATTTATTCAGATTAAAAAACAATAGGATCATTCTTGTGCTGAAGTTATTGATGGAACAAAGAATCATAAGTTGAAAATTAAGAGATATTTGACAAGAAACATGAAATATTGAATCAGTTAGAGTAAGTGTTCAAAATGGCCTACGTTTCGACGAAAACACGATTCTATATTCTTTTCTTAAGAATGTATTATTCTTCTAACCAGTTGAGGATCAGGTGTTAGGTCATCTAAGTGATGTTCAATTATGTCTCACAACTCTTGACGTGAATTTACCTATGTAGCATAGACTTTCTGCTCAAGATACAACAAAACTGTGTAATCCATGTTCTTAGTCAAATCTGTTTCGATGTTATTCTTGTGATTCATTGTTAAATCAATAAGTTTAGCACCAGAAATGTATTGCTGTTTTCGGTTTTCAATAAATAGGTGATAATTTTTCATAATACTCGCTCTATTACATAGCTTTATACCAGCAACAGTTATCACTTGATCATTTTCTAATCGAAATATTTCGAAAACGGAACACAGTATCGAGTTTTACCAAGAGTACCTTTTAGGTGTGAAATTGAATGATGTTCAAGTTCACATCAAATTTGGATTGAAAAATCTAACCTCAAAGAAGTTATGTTCATAACTACTCGGTACGAACCGTGTAACTAGCGCCCTCTATGAGAGTCAGATATAGAAACAAAGGCATGCGATGTGTCAGATTCCAAGAAACATCCATTCAAAATTTCATCACAATGTTGCCAGTAGTTTCGACATAATCTTGAAAAATGTGTAAAAAAATCATTTTTTCAACACCTTGTATCTTGATAACGGATGCCGTAACGAAATTTTTTTACTGAGTAAACCCAACTTATTTTGCAGTGTTCTACCTACCCTAGTAAGGGGGTCATGTTTTTTTGAAACACCCTGTATATTGGATTTAATCACATCAGTTCATAGAAATAAAAACGATTATTTACGAAATAGTGATATTCATGCTCATGACACAAGATATAAATCAGACTTCTCTATACCTTACCAGCGAATAGAAATCTGTAAGAAATCACCTAGAGTAATGGGAATCAAACTATACAACAGTCTTCCACAATGTTTCAAAGATATTGCCTTGGTGCATAAATTCAAAGAGAAAACTAAAAATTATCTCATTGACATGTGTCCATACTCGGTTGAAGAATATTTTGAAAATAATCGTTGAATTATCTGTTCTAGCTTTGTATTATGTGATTGTATATTGTATTTATTGTATTTTAGTATTTTAAGGTAAACGCTCTAGTTTCGGCTAGACTTTTCAATTTTAATTTGTTCTTTTTGACCTGTCTTATGTCATTATTTGATATTATGAGATCAATAAATTCTATTTCTATTCTATTAATACGACTAGGGTCCCTTGATGGAAATTGACGTTGAAGACATCTTAACAGGGTACGGACAGATCCTCGCCTCCTCTCACTCTAAAGTGTTGGTGAAACAGTTATATAGTTCCATCTTTATTCATTTCTGGGGATTAACACTAGATTTCTGACATTTGTTGTTTTGTTGGTTATATTGAGGACATTGGCGTATCATACGTAATTTCCACATGTGATTTCTCGTTCAACTATACATATTATATCCAAATGATGATGATGATAATTTTCGGGTTTTTGATTTTGCAACTCCAGCATAATCTTTGTGAGGCAGTGAGCAAATTTTTCTGAAAGTTTAATACGTTTTACCAAAAGGGACTGTTCTTAGACAATACCTATCAATAAATTAATTTTGACTTCAGACTAAGCCTTATGGTTGAGAAATGGTGGAAAATGTTATGTAGGTATTTAAACTAATGTGTTCATATGTCATGTGTGCTGTATATATTCATGTTGGGAATCATTTTTGCAGTTTTTCACGAACACCTAATATTTCCTGAATGTAGGTATAATTGTTCATATGGTAGGGCACATGCCTCTTCTTTTAATCCTCCGTTTTAATCAAAACTGTTTCTACTAAAATGCATTCAAAAACTCGTGGAGTGTATAATTTTAGGCACAATGAGAAAGCATAATATATGATTTCGTATTAGTTTTACCTCGAATATTTTGCTGATGTATTTACAAATTTTCCTCATTCGGGCACTTCACTTTCCATGTTCTAAGTTTATTTGCATTTGATGGAAAGCTGACAAATTCAAATTTGCCATCCAACTGATTGATACAGCCTAACGCAGCACATTTCACCATTCTTCCAAAACAGAATTGAATAATGTCGTATTAGGATAAAGTATAAAATTAAAATTTTGTAAGATCTCTTTTAACGTCTATGAAAGTGACGTGACAGCAATGTCATGTCAGGGACGCCAATACACGAAACCAAAGTCACTAGATGATTGAGAGAGAAAGGTGCTATTATCTGTCCCTACCCTGTTAGATGACAAATACGTCAGTTTGAATCAAGGGACCCTAGTGTTGCGTAGTTTAGTTCAGATTTTTCCTCAAATTTTCTGTCACGGCCCGGCCGACCCTGCCGTCCCTGACGAGCAGTCACTGCCGTAATAACTCTTTCAGTCTTGATACTATTTCTCTGACAGGTTCAACGTGAACATCGCCTGGTCCGGAGGCCTAAACCCCCCACTGGGCGACGCCGAGTACCTCGCCGCCTTCAGGAGCATCGTCATGCCCATCGTGAGAGAATTCGCGCCCGACATCATCCTGGTGTCGGCCGGCTTCGATGCGGCGGACGGACATTCGGCCCCTTTAGGGGGGTACAGGGTGTCAGCGGCTTGTTTCGGGTGAGTGCGGTCACTTGGTAGGTCGTAATGTAACAGTTTGACTTGCATATTATCGAAGGAATCTCATATTATGATTTATGTAGGCCAAACTAGGAGACCCAGTAACACTAGGTTCAAGGAACATCTCGCACATTCGAAGTGTGGTAGATCAGTCAAATCGAACGTAGCAGAACATTCACAATTTGTAAACTAGATTTAGGACATTGGGTCAGTATAGTATCAATCAGTAAGTGGAACAGGATTTATAAATAGGATAAAAATTAGTTTCAACCATCATTGATTTTACGAAGCAAAAATACGCGTCGACATCATCCTGGTGTCGGCCGGCTTCGATGCGGTGGACGGTCATTCCGCCCCTTTAGGGGGGTACAGGGTGTCAGCGGCGTGTTTCGGGTGAGTGCGGTCACTTGGTAGTTCGTAATGTAACAGTTTGACTTGCATATTATTGAAGGAATCTCATATTATGATTTAGGTAGGCCAAACTAGGAGACCCAGTAACACTAGGTTCAAGGAACATCTCGTACATTCGAAGTGTGGTAGATCAGTCAAATCGAACGTAGCAGAACATTCACAATTTGTAAACTAGATTTAGGACATTGGGTCAGTATAGTATCAATCAGTAAGTGGAACAGGATTTATAAATAGGATAATAATCAGTTTCAACCATCATTGATTTTACGAAGCAAAAATACGCGTCGACACCGTCTTGGTGTCGGCCGGCTTCGATGCGGTGGACGGTCATTCCGCCCCTCTAGGAGGGTACAGGGTGTCAGCGGCTTGTTTCGGGTGAGTGCGGTCACTTGGTAGTTCGTAAAGTAACAGTTTGACTTGCATATTATCGAAGGAATCTTCACTCCACTTTTACCGAAGATTGTACACTATGATTTATGTAGGCCAAACTAGGAGCCCCAGTAATAATAGGTTCAAGGAACATCTTGCACATTTGAAGTGTGGTAGATCAGTCAAATCAAACGTTACAGAACAGGATTTTGATATAGGATAATAATTAATTTCAACCATCATTGATTTTACGAAGCAAAAATACTCGTCGACACCATCCTTGTGACGGCCGGCTTCGATGCGGCTGACGGACATTCGGTCCCTTTAGGGGGGTACAGGGTGTCGGCGGCGTGTTTCGGGTGAGAGCGGTCACTTGGTAGGTCATAATGTAACAGTTTGACTTGCATATTATCGAAGAAATCTCCACTACATTTCTACCGAAGATTGCATTTTATGATTCACGTAGGTCAAACTAGGAGCCCCAGTAACACTAGGTTCAAGGAACATCTTGCACATTTGAAGTGTGGTAGATCAGTCAAATTGAACATTCACAATCGTGAACTAGATTTAGGACATTGGGTCAGTGTAGTATCAATCAGAAAGTGGAACAGGATTTCGAAATAGGATCGTAATCACTCTCAACCATCATTGATTTTACGAAGCAAAAATACGCGTCAGAGCATCGAAAAATCATATTGAAAGTGGTATTTGTATTGTATTCAGAAGAGGTGAATACACTGCGACAATTATTTTGCCCCCTTCTTTTGCTATACCCAATAAAATAAGGTTGTTCTTCATAGCCACAGGAACTCCTCCAGTCCTATATCCCTCAGATATTTCAGGATTTGAGGTGGTTCTAGGAAGGGTAGCTCCTCCTCCTCCTCCTCTATTATGTGATGTGCTTCTAGGTTTCTTGCCTATGGATCAAGTAGCGAGACACATTCCATGATTATATGGATATTGGTTTCCTCCTCTTCCTCATAGAACCTGCTTTCATCTTCTTCTAAGCCTAGCTTTCGAAGATATCCTTTCAACTGCCTCCGCCATGTTAAGTCTCCATTTATCGCGATCTTTTGTGGTAATATGTACCTAGTACTATCTCACCTTTCTGAGACCTTGAAGAATTTCCCAGACGTCTTATCTCTTTTCGAATTTCTTCTGATACAGTACTGCTGTTGATCCCGCATAAAGGTTATCGACACATGAAGAGTGTTTGACAACTTGTCCTCAGTTGAAATCTTACAGGATTTAGATATATTGGAACTAATAAAAAAATGAATTCCTATTTTCATGTTCCAAGCTAATGAGGAGCGTTTCATGGTAATGCTTATTTTCGATTAATAATTCTGAAAAGTTGTTGTAACATTTAGAGAAGGCAGGTTTTCAATCGCAGCAATTTTCATGGTATACAAAAAATCATCCTCCGATTCGGATCCTTTATGATTTCTTCTAATATGAAACTATTAATTTTTTTTGTAGGCGATGAATCTACCTTCTGCGATTGTTACAACTACTATTCAGTAATATTGATGGAAAAAATTAATTGACATGAGATGCTCCTTATTAGCTTGAAACTAGCACTAATGTGGGAAAAATTTTCCCGCAATGTTGCGGAAAAATGACACTTCCCAAACTAAATTGGGTGCGGGTGTAGGGTGAATCACGCACGCTTGTAGAAAAAAAAATGGCACGTTGTCATTAGAGTCACTGGATGGTATTAGTTTGATAAGAGTTCGGACACAGCTGAACTTTTGTCCTTTTCTATTTTCTATAATAAAATGGTTTAGGTGAATAAAAGAATAAGACATATATTCTGCTCTTTGTCTTTTCAATTTCCCTAGTAGTGCCTGATTGTCAGATACGATTTCAGAGGTTATATTTTCTGTCAAATCAATCATAGCCGTAGATGGACAATGGGTATAGGGTACAAACACCCACTTCAATTCATAGTGATACACTTCTAACAGAACAACTGTTATATAAATGGAAAGAATGCATGTAACAACATTTTAATATTAGAAAATATACACATATGGATAAACTTATAGCTATAATTCCTTATTATATGTGAAATTGTACTCCAGTGATGAGTATAAAACATGAAATTATTTATATTAAATTAAAGGTAGATATTCTCAATATACAGGAAGAAACATAAGTACTTTCAAGTGAAGTATTCCTGAGACAATTATAAGAAATAAAGTCTATATAAGCTTTTGTGTCCGGAAATGCTTCATTCATCATCAGAGTGCTGAAATACAGACAACAAATAATATTTCGATAAACATTTGATAGAAAAAAGTAGATTATTTTGACGAGACCTACCAAATACTTGGTTTTTTAAAGTTCTCAGCAACTCCACTTAGCGTCCTAGGAGCTAATAAGTAACATGGATCGATATAGAAAATATCTCCAAAACATTAACCTCCACAGCGTTATTAAGGCCCTTATAATAATTCCCTTGATACATAAATAACTATTCACTTTCCACTGTTGAATTTTAAATTTGGTCGGCACCAAAAACGCCATTCAATAATATATCAGTCTGATGTAGTTTACTTGCTTTTCTTAGTTTCGTTTTCAAATTCTCAATTTCATTATGTAATTTTGCGATCATTTCCTCTTTTCCATGATCATTTCGTTTTGTATTTTGTGTGATGATAATAATGGAATTTTGTTCTCGAAATCGCTTGCTTTGTCCTCTTAGCTATACTTCATTATATTGGATTCAGTGATGATTCTGTTCAATTTTTCGAAACCTACTTACTCAATCGTTTTCAAGCTGTCAAACTCGAGAACCAACTTTCTGATTTTGTTCATATTGCGAATGGAGTTCCTCAAGGATCTATTTTGGGTCCGTTACTTTTCATCATGTACACCGTCGATTTGCACACAGTCATAAAATTTTCTAGCAGTCATTTCTATGCAGATGATGTTCAGCTATATTTACCCTTCACTGAAAATAACTTGGATAATGCTGTTCAGAATCTGAACGATGATTTGACCTCGATAGTTGATATCTCGAACAAACTTTGTCTTTCTATCAATCCAGCAAAGTCAAATGTGATTTTATTCGGCCGGAAAGAAATCCGAATGAGGTGCTTACCACAAATCATCCTCAAAGTTGATGATGAAGTAATTCCGTTCACAGATACTGTGAAAAACTTAGGTTTGTTCATGGATCATACACTTAGATATACTAAGCATGTGAATACTATCATTAAGAGGGCCTTTTGCAACTTGAAACTGATATATTCTAACAAATCATTTTTGGATAAAAAAAGTAAAACCATATTGTGTGAAACCTTAGTTCTGTCTCACTTCAATCATGCGGATGTTGTCTACGGCCCAGCATTACTGAAATCAGATCTGAATAGACTTCAACTGGTACAAAACTCTTGTGTCCGCTTGATTTATGGCTTGAGGAAACGCCACAAAATTTCAACTCCATTACGCGAACTTGGTTGGCTGAACGTACAAAAAAGAATCTTGCTACATCAATGCGTAATGTTTCATAAAATTATTCTTCAAAGGAAGCCACCTTACCTATTCGAGAAAATTTCTTTCAGAACAGACGTCCACAATATAAACATCAGATTCAAATCAAAATTAACACCACCTTTGCATAGAACCACTTTCTATCAGTCCTCATTTTCTTACACGGTATCTCGGCTATATAATAAGGTTCCAGATAATCTGAAAAATGTACCCATTGAGGCTTTCAAAATGAAATTGAGAAAGTTATTGTTAACGGATCAGATAAGATTCTAGATGCTCCCCTTTGTTTGTTTGTTTTCATTATTGATTTTTTTTTTTCTTTTTTCTTCCTCTACTTAGGTCTAGTACTCATCATTATAATTAGCATTGTTTTCATTCCTTTTTGGTCAGCATTCTCGGAATAGTATTCATATATGAATATTTTTATTTATAAATATACATATATCTATAGAACACAATAATATGTAATTCAAAATATTATTTTTTTTTTGTTGTTGTTGTTTTGTTCAGGTTGAGTGTAAGAAAGTAATTACCCATTTCACCATGGGTATACGCTAACTCTGCCTTTTGATAGTAGACTACCATGTTTATAATGTGCTTTACTGTTACTTTGTTTTTACTATCAATAAAAGCGTTTATTATTATTATTATTATTATTTGTAAATTGATGGAACTGCAGATTCTCACAAACAGATTTTGAAATCTTCTGTTTGAAGATGGGCCTAAAATATAGTTTCATTCTAATCAGATGCTGTAATGAGTAACTCACAAATTTCGCTCGTCTTCAAATTGATTTTGCACCCATCAGGCCATTTCATATCTTCCTTCCATAAGCGAATGGTTGATATTTGTTTGGGAAAATTGAATAAATGATATCCATTTTCTTCAGAATTGGCACAATTTATTACACAGCAAGTAATTTCCATAGCTGCTTTCATCTCGAATGTATAATTATGAAATTTTATTTCAATTCTGACGTTTATAAAATGTATTGTCAAATTCAGACAATTTTGAATGAAAAAGCGCGGGACGACTATGGTGCTCTTGTCACAATGCAAGGTATGAAACTTAATAAATCTAAACATTCAAAAACCCTAACCGTTGTCATTTCTGTGTCCGAACTCTTATCAAACTAATAACATCCAGTGACTCTAGTTGTCATTACCTGCCCGTCTATAGTGACAGTCCAATCCAACCCGAACTCACCATCGTCTCTTTTCCAGCTACATGACGCGCCAGCTGATGCTGTCGGCCCGTGGGGGGCGGCTCGTCTTGGCTCTCGAGGGCGGCTACGACCTGCCCTCGATCTGCGACGGTGCCGAGGAGTGCGTCCGCGTCCTGCTGGGCGATCAGCCCGCCCCGCTCTCCCCCGCCGAGCTGGCAAGGGTGCCCTGCGCCAACGCCGTGCTCACCCTGCAAAAGGTAACAGACCGTCAATTCTTGTTTGTTTATTGGTTATTTGAATCGGTATAATATGGGGAAGTTTCGATATCAAAAAGTCATTTTCTTATGTTACCTGCAAGATTATGAACAGTCTACCTAGAAAATTCGGATCTGTTGGTGTAGATGTATTTAAAAAAAATCAATCAACCTATTTGGCGTTCGCCCAGCTCTCCCCCACCGAGCTGGCAAGGGTGCCCTGCGCCAACGCCGTGCTCACCCTGCAAAAGGTAACAGACCGTCAATTCTTGTTTGTTTATTGGTTATATTTGAATCGATATAATATGGGGAAGTTTCGATATCAAGAAGTCATTTTCTTATGTTACCTGCAAGATTATGAACAGTCTACCTAGAAAATTAAAATCTGTTGGTGTAGATGTATTTGAAAAAAAATCAATCAACCTATTTTGGCGTTCGCCCCGCTCTCCCCCACCGAGCTGGCAAGGGTGCCCTGCGCCAACGCCGTGCTCACCCTGCAAAAGGTAACAGACCGTCAATTCTTGTTTGTTTATTGGTTATTTGAATCGATATAATATGGGGAAGTTTCGATATCAAAAAGTCATTTTCTTATGTTACCTGCAAGATTATGAACAGTCTACCTAGAAAATCAAAATCTGTTGGTGTAGATGTATTTAAAAAAATCCATCAACGTATTTTGACTTGTATAACAGGTGGTAGCACTGTGTCCTAGCAATTTTGGGACACCCTGTATATTTAATTTTTACAAACTTCACATTGAGATGAAGACCTTAAATTGCGAAGTTTTGTGTTTAGGAATTTTAATTTCTTTATTTAGTTATTGCATTACATTCTCTTCTTCATTGATACATTTCATACAAATAATATATAAAGTATAATTAATTTTCTAGCAGGAATGACATGAATGATCAGACAGTTATTCCTGGTATAAGATCATTCATGAAGTATTATCGACTGTAGTATAATTGAAATTACAAATAGTGAACAAAACTTACATATCATCAACATATCTCAAAATAACAGTACTCATATTATAGTGAACAAGGAGAGGAAAAAACAGTGAAAAAAAGAAAAAGGAAGGAAATTCATAGTCTTTCAGCTTTGATCATTCCTTTGCATATAAATATATCTCTCCATTTTTTTTTGGAATTGTATAATATTTGGACTGTTCATCATCTGGTAATTTATTGAATTTAGAAATCGCCTCATGTGTAAATTTTTTTTGTCCAAGTTCAGAATTCGCAGCTTCAAGATGAAACAAGTTATATTGCCTAGTGTGATGATCATGTATTCCGGAATTCCTAATTGATATAAAATTTGATTTAAGCTTTTTGTTGATGATATAATAGGAAATTTTGAGAGGATTGATTGAAGAGTGCTATTCCGAAGAAATTGTGTTTGTTTCCTTATGCAGATTCCACTTTTCGATACAGATATTTGGGCGTTTTTTGTTTGATTACATTATAAAATAAACAACTGCAATGAAGATATCTTCGCTTTTTGATACTCGACCACTTCAATTCAGTGAGTTTATGTGAGATAGGTGACCTTCTATTCATATTGAAAACAAACCTGAGGCAAAAGTTCTGGATTTTTTGTAAGCGTTTTTGATTTTGTAATGTTAATGGCCCGTACACCACATCAGCGACATTGAGATGTGATAATACTAGTGCCCTACATAAAATGGTTTTAGTTTTCATGTTGAGAATATTTTTGTTTGCGAAGAGTAGATTGAAGCTGCTGAAGGCTTTTTTATGGTGCTATTCACGTGTATATCAAATCTCTAGTCAGTATCAAGCAGCAGTCCAAGATTTTTAGCGGTAGTGGTCAAGGGTATATCATCATCATCTATTTCTATTTTCAATTTGTGGTTGCAACGATGTCCCAATATTTTGGGACCGAATAACATCACTTGGGACTTGCTTGGATTAAGGGAGAACTAGATATTACGGAAAGAGCTTTCAGATCAGAACTGATAGCTTCATTTCTGAGTTCAATATCAGATTCATCAAACGACATATAGATCTGGGTGTCATCAGCATAAAAATGACTATTACACTGACCCAAGCTAGTTCTGGAGGAGGAAGTGTAAATAGTAAATAATAGTGGCCCTAAGACGGATCCCTGTGGTACACCACAGATAATATTCATTTCTTTCGATTTTTCATGTTTTTACTCAACAAAGATAATAAATAACCACGCTCTTAGTGAATCGAACCGAATATCATTCCTCTGGCGTTTTCTCCGTTCACGCCGCCACCTGGCACTGCCTCCAGGAACCCTCCAAAACGGAATTTTTAGCGGTGTATTTTCCATTTGTGGTTGCAACGATCTCTCAATATTTTGGGACCGAAAAAAATCACTTGGGACTTGCTTGGATTGAGGGAGAGGCAGAATTGGGTAGAAATTACGGAAAGGGCTTTCAGGTTCAGAAATGATAGCTTTATTTGTGAGTTCAATATCGGATTCATCAAACGACATATATATCTGGGTGTCATCAGCATAAAAATGACTATTACAGTGACTCAAGCTAATTCTGAAGGAGGAAGTGTAAATAGTAAATAATAGTGGCCCTAAGATGGATCCCTGTGGTACACCACAGATCATATTCATTTCTTTCGATTTTTCATGTTTGTACTCAACAACGATAATAAATAACCACGCTCTTAGTGAATCGAACCGAATATCATACCTCTGCCGTTTTCTCCAGGTGATAGCCGTCCACGCCGCCACCTGGCCCTGCCTCCAGGAACCCTCCAAAACGGTCTCGTGCTCCTTCAACGACGCCCTCAGGAGCGAGAAGGAGGACAAGGACACGGTTAACGCCATGGCGGGCCTCTCGATGCGGCACGCCGCCGCTGCAGCCGCCGCCGCCGCCAGCATGGTAACGTCCCCGGTAGGGGGAGGGTACCATTCGGCCGGGCCGCAGCACGTGATCAGACCCAACGCGTGAACATAACGGTTGAGAGAGTGGGAGACGTTTTTTTATTATCGAGCTGTTGACTATCCTAAACGAGAGTCTTTACATACACTAACCATTGTCGCTCTGGATGGAAAAGCTAGTTAGTAGGCGAGAAGTTATATTTTCTGTTCATGGGTTGCGTGCAAGCACTGTCAGATGAACGACCCTAGAGGTGAAACATTGAAACACAACCTAACTTTTCTTATTTGTTTGCAAATGATTGAAATAGTTTTTCACAACTATTTTGGCATATTTTGGCAATTATTCATTAATTCGCGCATGCCATCACATTGTGCTGTTGTAAAATGCACAAAAAATGCAGCGAGAGACGAAGGAATCGGGTTGGTACATCATGATTTGAAAGTAAGTACCTCTATAGTCACTAACGGAATCGGAATTCCTTTTGCAATAGGAGCTAATAGAAATACTCGTGAAATTCTAAAAAAATGCAGGAAGATCGGATTCATGCAATCAAACGGGAGGACTGGTCTGAAATGCTGACGAAATATGATCATGTGTGTTGTATACATTTTCAATCTACAGTATTAGCTTCTATTGCAGAAGTGGCAGAAGAAATTTTAATTAGAAATGACAAAATTTCATAGTGAAAACTATGTGAGATTATTATTTATCTGAAAAATCACATTCCTTCGTCTCTCGCAGCATTATTTGTGTATCGTACAACAGCAGAAGGAGAAGGCATGCCTAAAATTAATGAATAGCGCAAAAAACACGATTCGTATGCCAAAATATTGCGAAAAACTATTTCAATCCTTGGATTCCTCTGTTGAAAAAAGTGAGGTAATGTTTCAATGTTCAACACAAAAGTGAGGTTGTGTTTCAAAATTTTACCTCCAGGGTCGGTCATTGTGCACGCGACCTATTGAATAAAACAATTTCGAAAATCGGCCTCATTGTGACAGTTTCCTATACCATAGAGACATCTACTTGATCTATATAAACTAAGTTGTTAATTTTTTATTCCTGACCCAAACATTTTTCATGCTTTTTGAGCATAGTCTGTCAAGTTTGTAAATAACAATCTCCCATGTTGCAACTCGAGGTTGAAGCATTATCAATAAATATATTCATCAAGTATGAAAATAATCTACCTATACTCCAATGGAAGCATGAAGTTGTTTACGCACTGCTATATTAGGTTGATATATGATGCTATTCGAATTTAAGTAGCTATTGTTGGGAATTGCGGAAACCTCGGCTGATAGTAGTCAGTGCTGTGATAAAAAAAAACGTTACTCTTTGAACTAATTTGACACGCAAGCCAATCAGAGAGGTAGGAGCTGCTCAGTTTCCTTTCTATTTTTTAAAAATCACAGTCATATGCTCATACACTTCAACAGTCATCATTCCTGAAATATCGATCCATTATTTTCGAAAATGTAATCTAAAAAGAATATTTCACCTCGATATGCATTGAATATTGCCTAAAACCCATTGTTGCCTTAAACTACATCATTGGGGATTGGGGAAGCAGTGTATAGATAGGTATCATCACATATATCACTTCTTGAAGGGCAAAATGGAACACAACAGTTTATACGCGACATAATTCACAGCACAACCTAACCCCAAAATGACACAGTGAACTATGAGCTAGAAGAGAAAAATTATTGGAAATGGGCAATCAAAATAATAACTATAACAAGTACCAACTTACAAAAACAAACCATCAAATACAAACCAACTTATAGATAGAGAACAAGACATATCAATTAATGAAAGATACAATGGGATTCAAAAAGGAAGTCAACAACCACCAGACGTGAAATCTGTCAGGTACCAATCTTTACAAACATTCTTCTCTTTTTTATCAATATCTGTGGTTGGAGTCCGGTTTGAAAACAAAATAGATGAAGACAAATTCAACCTAAAACAGTGTCACTGATATTGAAACGAATAAGCTACTGACAGTTTCCTATACAGTAGCGCCATTGACGGGCACATAAATTTTGGGTCAATGCGAACACACAATATTATAACCCGCCTACTAACTAGCAAACTATCTTTTCATACAATGTTCACACTAACATGATGAACCATCTTTATGAGGGCAATGAAGCCAGAAATTCTTTTCAGTAGGTGGCGGTATCTATGAGCGACAATTTGAACAACTTTTTTATGAGTTGAGTAGCGAAAGGTAGAGATCGGTTATTTATTATTAATTATTTTCAGATGGTACTATGCAAGAAGGAATGTCGCATCAGGGCCGGATTAATATAGAGTTTTGTTCAGAAGTCAGAATATCAAAGTTAGCGTTTTTTTTTACTTCAGAAAGAAGAATATTCGTAGACAGTTCAACAACCTGCAGATAGATGGACTGGAGCAGATTCGGGTATTCGCGATAAAAAATGAACGTACGCCACCTATCGGAGTTTTCGAAAGCTGTCAAAGCGGTGTCTGTTTTGGTATTGGTATTGGTAAGGGTGGATGGTGACAGATGTGCTGCAACCTTATCAGATCTATTGTGCCCCATCTTCTTCTGCTATCTCAAGGTTTTCTTGTTTATAGCAGCCCCTCAAGCTTCAATTCTTTCTGGAATCTGAGTATTTTGAGGGGATCGGTTTGTGGTATTTCTTCCACGGTCAGCTGCTGTGCTCCCAGTATGGTCGATCTTTTGTGATTTACAACAAAACACTCCAGCAAGATGTGGTGGGGTGTTTCTGGACGTTCCCCGCAAAATCTGCAGGTGCTGTCCTCTAAGCCAAGCTTCCTTAGGTGTTCTTTGAGTATACAATGCCCCGTTAGAAATCCCCTTATTGCTTTGAGACTAATTTTGCTGAGATTGATTAGTGTCTTCGATCTTGCTCGGTTGAAATTGTCGAGATCTTTGGCCTGCCGCAGTCCTGGGAATCTTCGTCAGTGTATTGTCTGTATTGGTATTCGTAAGTGTGGATTGTGACCGACGCGCTGCGACCTTATTAGGTTATTTTGAGGGGATCTGTTTGTGGTATTTCTTCCACGGTCAGCTGGTATGCTCCCAGTATGTTCGATCTTCTGTGGTGTACAGCAAAACACTCCAACAAGATGTGGTTAGGTGTTTCTGGAGGTTCCCCGCAAAATCTGCAGGTGCTGTCCTCCTCTAAGCCAAGCTTCCTTAGACGTTCTATGAGTCTACAATGCCCCGTTAAAAATCCCGTTATTGCTTTGAGACTAATTTTGCTGAGATTGATCAGTGTCTTCGATCTTGCTCGGTTGAAATTGCCGAGGAGATCTTTGGCCTGCCGCAGTCCTGGAAGTCTTCGCCACGGTATTGTCTGTATTGGTATTGGTATTCGTAAGTGTGGATTGTGACCGATGCGCTGCGACCTTATTAGATTATTTTGAGGGGATCTGTTTGTGGTATTTCTTCCACGGTCAGCTGGTATGCTCCCAGTATGTTCGATCTTTTGTGGTGTACAGCAAACCACTCCAGCAAGATGTGGTGGGGTGTTTCTGGATGAAATCCCGTTATTGCTTTGAGACTAATTTTGCTGAGATTGATCAATGTCTTCAATCTTGCTGGGTTGAAATTGCCGAGGAGATCTTTGGCCTGCCGCAGTCCTGGGAGTCTTCGCCAGTGTGTTACTCTCATTGCTTCGTCAGCTTTATTAAGTTCTTTGTGAAAATAAGAATAAGAATTTCCGAGACCGCAGAATGGTTCTGGTCCGAACAGTGGCGTTGATGCTCCAGTCTGTTCACTTTGTTTTCATTTGTTACATCTGTTTTTTGTTCGTGCTTATTAATCAAATTCATCAATACAAACCGCCAAGAAGTCTTCAAGTGGTTGCCGTCAGGTGGGGCGACGTGTTATTTTCTATCGCTAATAGAAAAATGTTAGTGTAAATAGAGAAGTACAGTCAGATTTTTGAAAGAAGTCCGGGGGATGTCTATCTAAAAAGTCATGGAACTTTGACATTTTATACACTGACCAAAAACTGAAAAGTTTACGATCTCTTCCTGGCAATGCTACCAACGTAGCAAAATATTGGGTGTATTTCCATACCGTATATAAGGCTGTCCTATAGCCCGTTTAGGATAGTAGGTATAGCTCGATTTGGGATCATTGCCACACACTTTGGAAAATGTGCAGACCAGTTTTACCGGTTATCAATGTCCTTCAAAAAATCACGACATAAAAATGAATTTGATGACTGGCATGTGTATATGTGTAAATTTCCAAAAGATTTGCAGTGACAAGTTACAATATTTATTATGAACATTATTCCTGGAAGCATTATACAGGGTGTTTCAAAAAAACCTGACCCCCTTACTAGAACACTGCAAAATAAGTTGGGTTTGCTCAGTAAAAAAATTTCGTGCGGCATCCGTTATCACGATACGAGGAGTTGAAAAAATTCTTTTTTTAAACATTTTTCAAGATTATGTCGAAACTACTGGCAACATTGTAATGGAATTTTGTATGGATGTTTCTTGGAATCTGACACATCGCATGAATTTGTTTTAATATCTGAATTTCATAGAGGGTGCTAGTTACACGGTTCGTACCGACTAATTTTGAACATAACTTTTTTGAGGTTAGATTTTTCAATCCAAATTCGATGTGAACTTGAACATCATTCAATTTCACACCAAAAAGGTACACCTGGTGAAACTCGATACTGTGTTCCGTTTTCGGAATATTTCGATTTGAAAATGATGAAGTGATATCTGTTGCTGGTCCAAAGCTATGTGTTAGAGTATTATGGAAAATTATCACCTATTTATTGGAAACCGAGAACAACAATACATTCCTGATGCTGAACTAATTGATTAAAAAATGAATCACAAGAATAACATCGAAACAAATTCGACTAAGAACATGGATTACACAGTTTTGTTGTATCTTGAGCAGAAAGTCTATACTACATAGGAATAAATTCACGTCAAGAGTTGTGAGACATAATTGAACATCACTTAAATGACCTAACAGCTGATCCTCATCGGTTTAGAAGAATAATACATTCTTAAGAAAAGAATACAGAATCGTGTAT